GGGAAGAGGTAACTATGGGGAGGAAGTGGGAGGGGAGCTGTTGCATTGTGGTAAACTGTGGTCAGTGTCATGAGACAAAGTGTATGTGTACTGCTGTACGGAAAGTGAATTTACTCTGTAAATCTTCACCCAAATTACAGTATTTTTAAAAAAAAAAAAAATCCCTTGAGAGGCAATGTACCAAATGTAAGTGATCAATACAGTGGCACTAAGAAAGAGAAAGACATAGAAAGGTGCATGAGAGGTACAGACAGCAAAGATGAACCCTTCTGCACATACAATACCATGCTGTCAGTCATGGTAAACACTGATCTACAGATGAATTAGGTGGGTGGACAGTCTGAACTATCCAGTATGTCTAGGCAGGGGAGACTGTGCCCAATGTTTCTACAAGTGTATTTGTATGTTCTGTAAGAATTCCCATGTATATAGTAGAGCTGACAAGGGAGAAGGTTGTAGTCACTTCTTGGTCACAGCCACCTACCCAGAGGGAGAGCAAGAAGTTGGACCTGTAGGCTCAGGACTATGCTCACAAGCTCAAATTGGCATAAAATACTACACAAAAACATTTTCCACATCCTACTTTAGTGAGTAACGACTGGGATCTTAAAAGCTTCAAAGTGACCATCTAGATGCAACAATGGGTCTCTCCTTGTCCAGAGCAAAGAAGAGTGAAGAAAACCAAAGATGCATGGAAACAATTAGTCCAACTGACTAGTACACCATGTGATCCTCAGCCTATATAATTATGAGACCAGAAGAACTAGACGGTGCCCAGCTACCACTGTCAACCACTTGGAGGGGGATCTATGTAGGAAATCCTGGATAGAGTTGGAGAACAATGTGGAACAAAACTCAAAATCATTTAAAAAAAAGAAGGGTGGGGGGACGACCAGGTTTGCTGGTCTGATAGAAACCCCTGAGACTATAACCCCCTAGAGCTGCCCTACTGGTCGGGAATTTGACCTACTCCCGTAGCTTACAGCCAAACAAAACAAAGGCATATGAGATAAACATTTACATTAGGTAGATACACTCCTTGGGGCGAACAATCTTGGGAGAATGGAAGGGCTGTGTATGCACAGGGAGACAATTCAGAGGGCAGGAGTGCACAGGAAGGAAGGACACAGGGAAGAGGTAACTATGGGGAAGAAACAGGAGGGGAGCTGTTGCACTGTGGGAAATTGCAGTCAATGTCATGAGACAAAGTGTATGTGAGCTGCTACATGAAAATCAATTTGCTCTGTAAACT